AAATATATATGTTATTTTAGACATAGATAAAATCATAAGGGCTTAATTAGTCTATGATAAAAATTATATAGGCTAAAATAGACCCCTTTTTTAAGTTTAAATTATATATGTTATTATATTAATAGTTTATTATAAGTCAGTATATCACGTTGGTAAATTCTAATGTATATTAACTCAAACTTGACGATGGAGGTTTTTATGCTATGTTTTTAAAAATATAGGGATTAATTTAGATATGAGTAAACCATAAGGGCTTTAGTGGTCCATGACCAAAATCACTAAGGCTAAATGAATAGACGTTAATATAATGACACATGTAATTTAAGTTAAAAAAAATGTCTATTTTAACCTTTGTGATTTTGGTCATGGATCATTTAAGCCCTTATGATTTTGTTTGTATCTAAAATAACCCATATATTTTAAAAAGCGTAGCGTATAAATTCCTCTTGTCAAGTCTAAGTTGACAGACACTAGAATCTGCTTACGTGGCATGTTGACTCATAATAAATCATTAGTATAATGACATGTGTAATTTAAGTTAAAAAAAAAAGTCTATCTTATCGAGAAAGATGAAGCGATGAAGGCTGTAACGATGGATAAAGGCGAAGAGATAGAGATAGGAGAGGCTGGAGGCAGAGGTGAGAGAGGACGAAGTGAGAGGTAGTAGGGACAAAGACACCTAGGAGAAGGAAGTGAGACCAAAAGATCATTACATGCCTACTGGTCGATGCACATCCACCTTAGACAGAACCAGAAGTTCTTAAACTTGTCAACACAAGAGAGGCTACGTGTGTATGACAACCTACTAAGCGGCAATGGCTCAGCGTTGTTGTTGGTATTCGCTTACACGATGATGCCTCCTCCCGCCATTAATAGTTGTCTCAATTTTTAATTTAAATTACATATATTATTATATTAATAGTTTATTGTAAGTCAATATGTTACGTAAACATACTTTAACGTCTGTTAACTAACTTAAGATAGAATGAGCTTATATGTTATTTTTTTAAAATGTATAAATTATTTTAGACAAGAAAAATCATAAGGGCTTAAGTGATTCATGACAAAAAAATTACATGAGCTAAAAATATATATTTTTTAAAAATAAATTATATATATTATTATATTAATAATTTATTATGAATCATGTATGTAGACTCTAACGTCTATTAACTAAAAAAAAAATATTTATATGCTATATTTTTAAAAATATAAAAATTATTTTAAATATGATAAAGACTTTAATTTATAACCAAAATTACATGGGCATTTAACCCTTTATTCTATACGTCTATAGCTCCATTCACATTTGTGTTTGCCCGTTAAGGTGAAGTTTGTAAATTGGTTAATATTTATATAATATTTATACTATATAAGATCAATTTTTCTCCATAAAACTTGTGATTTCTGAGGCAATACGATCTTCAGGTTGAGAGACGACGTCTGAACTCTGTGTTGGCACCACATCCTCTGTCTCGTAGTTGTCCTCGTCGCGCAGAAGCTTCTCAGAGCCATGAGCAACCACGTCTTTAACGACTAGGGTTCTGTGCATGCCCGGAAAGAGCTGCTCGTGATCGGTATCCCCTTTCGCTCCCACGAGCACCATAATCTTCGAGAGGTCGACGCCCCATCGTATCGATAGGTACCTGTAATGATAGCTAGTCTTGCTGTCAAGCAGAGAACGTTGTCTGAGACTGCGGTCGGGGAATCAAATAGGTGAAGATATGGACCTCAAGGCGGATGCCCTTGACGCGAAAAGGGGGACGACGTTGAGCCGTGTGCTTGCCCGTGTGTATACCAAGTTGCAACGAAAGCCTCGCATCCGAAGCCTTTGGCGAATGGCGTCGATCTTGCGAACCTGAAAGCAGAATGAAGGCAATTGGATACAACTAATTCACTTGTTTTTGTGTGTCAAGACGGAAGAGCTCACTCTGTCGACGGCTTTGACCGAGTACGCGAGGCAATGGGGACGGCAGGCCGCATCGTCGACCGTCAGATCGCCTTCGGGAGCCTCATCCAGCTGCGCAAGGCGCGGCACAGCGGACTTGACGTGCTCCGCCGGCCACTTGTACTCCACGTGCTCGCCGTAGTCCACGTCCTCCGGCGGATCCCGCCACGGGTAGTACACGTCGCTCCCGCTCCCACACACGAGCGCGTCGAACTCGCCGGGATCAACGTGGCAGCACTTCAGCGCCTCCACGGCCTCCGCGGTGGTGGACCCCGTGGCGAACACGTACCCGACCCGCCCCCTGCCGACGGCCATGGCCGCATCGAGGACGCGCCTGAGGTCGGAGAGGGCCGGACGGCCGTCCTCGCTGTAGCAATCGACGGCGACGACGACGAGGCGCTGCCTGCGGCCGGGGGCGTGGTCGTTGACTGCGGCGGCGTGGGGGCTGCAGCGGTGGCGGCGGAGGGCTTCGAGGATGGCCGCAGGCCCCATGTCGCTGTTGGCCGTGGGAGGGTTAGCGAGGTCGAGGGGGGCGTCGAGGGAGAACCGGAGGGAGAGGTCGTCGCCGACGTCGCGGAGGGATTCGCTCATGGGCTCGAGGGCGGCGGCGGTGGGAGGGAGGTCGAGGCAGGGGGAGGACGACGGGTGGCCGCTGAGGGCGCGGCAGTGGTCGACGTGGGAGAGGTAGGAGCGGCAGTGCTCCGGCCACGAGAAGCGGTGGATGTTCTTGAGGCCATTGCGGCGGCAGTCGAACCAGAGCGACTTGTCGGCCACCAGCTTCAGCAGCGCGTCCGATATCGCGCTTTGGTCGTGCGGATCCACCAAAACCCCGTTGTTGAGCACCTGCGATCAAACTAGTCTTCATCAACACCGAGAAAGGATCTATCAATGCTGCTGCTTTGATCACATTTCATCCTCTGTAGTTCATGTTGTGAATTCTTCAAACTCAGTAATGAAAGATCCACATAGAGGGAACCTTCAGAATGTCCACAGGTCCTCCATTCTTGGTTGCAACCACTGGTAAACCATAAGCAGCTGCCTGCAAAACAAGAGACAGTTTATGCTCACAAACCCATAACCGGTATGCCACTTGAGAGTCCTGTACCTCTATGAGAGTAAGGCCAAAAGGTTCTACGAGAGCTGGATTGATGAAGACTCCCTGCATAAATGTTCACGAAAATAAGATGGACAATTATATTTTTGACTTGCTGCTACCTACATTCAGGTCTCAGTAAAATCACGTCTGTTCTCGTGATGATCATGCTCTGACCAATACCTTGGTCTTCGCTGCCAGGCGATAGATGTGGGGGACATCAGACTGTTTGTGATGCTTGGGGTAGGCCACCAGACCGTATAGATCGTACCTGTCGATCAGCTTGAGCACCGTGGTAAGAACAGCTGCGCTGCTGCCGGACATCTCTTCGATGTCGTCTCTGTTGCCCAGTATCAGTGTCTGCGACAAAGGAAGAGCATAAGCACTTGTGGCCCCGACTTCAGTGAGGATAGTGATATATCAAGGAGTACCAAATTAGCGAGCTCCCGGAGACGGCTGCACTCGCCGAATGCCTTTAACAGAGTCATCACGTTCTTCTTCGGGTCCGGCCGAGACAGTGCAAGGATCATCGGCTTGTGAGGATTGGTAAAGAACCTCATTATCTGCTTGTGTGTTGACAACCTTAAGTATGAGCTCGAAGCTTAATCAAATGAAAAGCTTAAAGCTTGTAGTACGACCTCAGACCATATCGGAGGCAGATCCCTTCTGCTTGGAGCTCCGTCAGAGCCGATCAAAGATGAGAGGTCCCCATCGCCTTCCATCAATTCCTGCGTGTTCACGTAGCTGAAATCCATCCCTGGTGGTATCACCTATAATTTAAGCCAAAGAGTATGAGAACCAGAAAATTATCATAGACATCCATGCATGTCAGAATTATGCTAGGTGAATTGAGTTCTCACTTACCACCATCCTCGGCATGTAACGCCCAAGGCAACCGACGCCTCTCCTCCTCCTCACCCTCAGTTTCCTCTCCAGTTTCAGATCGAATCCATCGTACAACCCCCACTGCTCTTCGATCTCCTGCCGGGTGCTCGTGACGACCATCTCCGCCGCGTCGAGCGCGACCTCCTCGCCCTCGATTCTCCTCATGATCCGGTAAGTGGAATTGATGTCCTCCCGGCTGAGCCTCCCTTGCTTCAGGAGCTGCTCCAGCTTGTTTCGGCCCAACGAATGGCCCGTCATCACCATTGGCACGTTGAGCAAACCGGCCAACCGGGCCGCCACCTCCCCTGCATCGGCATAGTGCCCATGTATCACGTACGGCCAAATCGGCTTTCCGCCTCCGACGCCGCCGTCCACCTCCGCCACCTGGTCGGCTAGTACTCGGGACACGTTGGCTATGTGGGCCAAGGCCCGATCCACGAACTCGGGAATGTGAGGCCACAGCGACTCCTTGGGTATATACCTGAGTAAAAACTTGGTGATCGTAAGATCAAATGCATGAAAACATTCACGTCGTGAATTGTGACGCTGGATTTTCACCTTTCTCGGGGTCCACACGGAAGGCGAATTATGTAGGCTCCGCAGCCGTCATTGTTGGTGGATCGATCCACGTCAGAGAGACGAGTCAGCATCTCGACCGGCTCACCGTAGGTCCAGTCCACGTCAGGAGAGGAGATCTGGCGAGTCAGGAGGTCCACACGATAGACGCCGTTGGTGGCCGCCAGTGCTCGTGCCAATTCCACCACGTACTTCACCTGTTCGTGACACACACATAAAAGCATTAACATCATGAGATGAATCGCTTGCTCTTATTTGCCTTGTTGATGCAAAACCTGTCCTCCGGTGTCCGAATCCCTTCCCAATTCCATGTTCTCCCCACGTATCAGTCCATGCAAGCTGCCATGAGACCAAATCATAAGAACCCTAATTGTTGGCGATCGCACAACATGTCCTGTTTCTATTGAGCTAACCACCTGATCAAAACGATGTAGAGATGCTTGCTCTTCCCGTCCTGATCATCCTCCGACCACATCTTCATCTCCGAGTTGATTCGAGGCATGCTGTCCTTGGGAGGCTCTACCTTCTCCCCCTCCGATAGCTCCGAGATGTCCGCCGCGGCGTCCTTGCTCCCCTGCTCCCGCTCCCGCCGTTTCTTCGACAGCCGCTGCGCCTCCTCCCACTGTATCTGTTCATCCGTTCCAAAGTCATGTAAGCAAGTGCCAAACGAGAGGAATAAAAGCAAACATGTTGCGCTCATCACCAAAAGCCAGCACCTGCTTCTTTTTGCGTGCCAGATGCCATATCCTCCAGCACATATTCTCCAGCCGATTGTTCCGCTCCTGGCTATTCCTCGTGGCCACCACCTATCCATGAATCAACCACATGCACCATGGAGGCATGGCATTAAGGCGCATCTAATCGAACGACAGGTCGAACAGGGATTACGCAGTAAGCCATGGCGAAGAGCAAACCTTGGTCCAGGTCTTGTGGAGGTCGGCGTCGTCGAACCGGCTGACGACCTCCTCGACGAAGTATTTGGTGGGGCTGTATCTTTCCACGCCGCCACCGCCGCTGCTGGCGGAGCGAACCACCAGCTGTTTGAGGGCAGAGAAGGAGAAGTTGCGGTCACGGAGCCGGAGAGGCTGTTTGGGTCCGGCGTCCAGTATGGCCTCGAGGTAGCCATTAATCCACTCATTTCCCGCCATCTCTGTACCACTCGGCGCCGTTTTCCCTCCTCTTCTACGCCCTCTACAGGAAAACAGAGAAGGTCTGGTTTTGTCTTTGTGGAGTGAAAGATGAGGAAGAAGAGATGAAGGGGGAAAGAGGGGGATGTGAAGGTTGCTCGAGTTGTGTTGGAGCAGAGCAGGGCCTTCATTTATATAGGGGTTGATTCGAAATTTTATTCCAATTCCAAAATAGGAATACCAACGCCAATTATTATTATTTTCTTCACCCCTTTCATTAAATCACTCCACTGAGTAATTATTCCCTGTTGATCATTATTATTATCTTCTAAGATTATATACTTAAATTAATTTAATTTTAAATATACCGGTAATTTCGTTTTAGTCGATTATCTTTCATTAAAAAAATTTAAATATATGATATCAATTTAAGACGGTTTAAAAATTAATAAATCATATATATATATATATATATATATATATATATATATATATATATAATGGCTCACATTTGGATATTAAAATATGAGAGAGGATCGTTAGATTTTGTGGTCCTTTTATAATTGAATAAGATATATAATATAATAACTAATTAAGTTCTGTTGAAATATTTTAGCCAATATATTAGAAGTTCACTACGGAACGATTCCTCGCGAGATAACCTTGATTAGAGGATAGGAAGAAAGGAGAAAGGATCTACTCCTTGCACTCTTGCAGATGGTGATGGTGCCTGTAGCAATCTTGGATCGGTGCCTACAGTAATCTTGGATCAATGACGGTGCTTGCAGTAATCTTGGATCGGTGCCTGCAGCAATCTTGGATCAAAGACGGTGCTTAACAAATCAAACAAGTTCTATGAAGAGATGGCATCAAAAGTTACGCATCGTAATAATTAGATCTATACACTTGATTTCAATCCTAACATATAAATTATTTTCACATTTCAGATATAGCATAATTATAGATTTTATGCTTATAAGGATTACTACTCATAAGCGGGTTTTACCTGTGACTTTTTCATGTCCATGGTCACAAACATAAGTAGCAGATGCCTTCTACTTAGATGCAGTAAGCTTTAGGTAGGATGAACGTTAGGTGCCAATCAAGCGGAGCAACTGTGGATCCAACACCTCAAGAGCATCTTATCAACACTTTCGGCACCGCATGACCTGTGTGCCACTGCCCAATGCCAAATTCCAATTCCAAATGAGCAGAAAGAATCAAGTGGAGGAGGAAAAAGAGAACAAAAAAACAGGCAAAACAAAGAAGTAACACAGGATGAGGAAGAACAATGAATGGCTGTGGGAAGCTGGAAATGGTAGCAGTCACAAGTTGAGAGAGAGTGGTTATCTTGAGGAATATCCCATTTCCATCCCTGCTTTGTTCTTTTTCTCGAGTGCCAAAGCAGGAGGCTCATCTGGAATTCCATGAAGCTTCATCCTGACTCGAAGATTGGTGCGGGATTTTTGGGATCATTCCTCATCACCATTATATTATTCCTTGCCACACACAGTTTTCTGTGAGAATGATTGGGGCCTCATCACCTCCCTTGCTAGAGTTCAAAAACATCATCTTTCGTACTTAATGCTAATGGACAGATTCCAACTGTGTGCAGGCTTTCAACCACATCAAGGAATACAGGATGGCTTTTTGTTACTGTAGGAGGAATCCAACGCCGCTTTCTTAGAGTGAGAAAAGTGTCGGAGACGTCTCCCTCTGGCTTTTGATGTTGCAGGCACGCTCTCCAAGCTTCTCCATCCAGTGATATCACAATCCATATTATGCTCCTCCAAGGATGCTTCTTGTTCTACGACCTGTAGTTATAACACCATTTTTCTCCTCCCCGATTGCTTCTTAAGAACTTTTTCTATTGTTTCTCTAAACTTTTTCCAACTTTTACTTGTGATATTATAAAATTTGAACGAGATTAAAAATTATCTCAAAAACAAAAAATATGTATTCTCTCCCTCTCTCTTACTTTTGCTCATCCATAAAAAAAATATTTATATTTCTTTTCTTTTATTTCATTTGCTTCGAGAATAAAAGATGTTTATATCATATCTAGCAAAAAACTATACTTGAAAATTTTTCAATAAAAATATCTTCTACGATGAAGATAGTTATATATTTATAAGCGTCAAGAACTCATAAATATCACTTTTGAAAAAAAATATTATTATTGTATATAGCAACATTCATGTAATAATAAATACATTTGTAAGAATGTCATTTTATATAGCACATCACTATAACAAAAATATATTTTTATTTATGGTTCTTACTTACATAGCTGTGAATTTTACGATCACAATTTCATGTCTACATATTACTCCGGTAACTCAACCACAGTAATAGTAACTTCATCATATGAACTAATAGATAATTTTACCTCATGAAAAATAATTATAGTAATAAATATATTTTTGTGAAAAATTATTATGTTTTATCGCATGGATAATAATCATAATAATAGATTATAAAACATACAAGATAATTTTTTTAATGATTATACTTAACAACCGCTAGGATATATCACAATCATTTCATAAAAGATTATCAAATTCATTTATCAACAATAAGGTTTATACAAAAAAAATTAATATTTAAGCATAGCCAACTTTAAATACAAAATTCAAGGAAAAAAAAAAGTGAATATATATATATATATATACAAAATTCAATATTTATTCATGTGATAACTAATTTAATAAGTGAATATTTTTTTCCTAACTTCGGTGTTTTTGTTTGTTTGGTAATCATAATACAACTATAAAATCGTACGTGGAATCAATAAGCTAAACGACTTGGGAAGGAGGGACGAATTAAAGGACCGGATATACTATGATGGTTGTGCCAAAGTTACTCCCTGACAGTGGAGAATCAGATTCCTCTGTGCCAAGAAGGAAGCTGTTCCACAATCCTAAGAGCATTGGCACATTCTTGGCATCCTCCTTCCCACCTCTACTTCAAGCATCGGCTTAGATTCTTCGGAAGGATCTCCTCTGATATTTGTAAGCTATTGTGACGATATCAACATCACTACACTTCTCTTTTGTCCAACTACGATGCCTCTGAATATTTTTCTATAAATAATAAAAAATCAAGACAAGCGTAGATTTTCTCAAAGATGTTTCTCTTAAGCTCACGCGCACACATACACACACAAATATATATATATATATATATAATAAAAAATAATTTTATTTTATTATCATATATTCAAAATTAATTTACTAATATTTTTTAGCTTAGCTGAATCCACAACCATAAACTGTAGCTGTTCGATTGTTCAAATTCCAGAACACAATATTTGTGTTATCATGCATGACACTCCTATTTCTTCTAGACTATAATGTATTTTTATAATAATTAAGAGAATTATTCTTACCAAAATTATCTTTAAAAAATCATAATTAAAAAATATTAATTAATAATTATAATCAAAATTATAGCATATTTTTAACTAATTAAATAAGATAATATAATATAATAATATATACTCATCAACGTAAGGGATGACGTCGGTAGTCCAAGGGGTGACGTCCATATCACGCATTTCATGGAAAGAAGGAACTAAGGTGGTGAATGTCGAGTACTGTACGTTACTTCCGTAACGTTTACAAAAGCAGCCCGCATGGTGTGCGGTTGACACTATCCGACGGGGATTTCGGCTGCGTATAGCACAGCTTATTACTCTTGGGAACTCGAGCCTGCTTCCTTCTCCACGGGAGTCCTGCAGAAAGAACCCGTAGGAAGAGGATTAGTAGTTGCTAATGTATCAATCCAGTCGACAAAAGAAATCAGATAAAATAATTTAAAGATGGGATTTATGAGATACAAACTACGTTCTTACATGAGGAGATAAATCAATGATAGATTCGAAATCTTTTAATAAAAATTTTGAATTTATGCCGAAGAATTTGAAGCTTTGAAGTTTTTATCTTATTTGTTTTCTAGGCTTCAGTTGATATTGATACTGATATAATTCGGAGAAATAAGAACTCATCTATTATTTGTTGTAGTAGGAAGAGAGCTCTTATATCTTTCTGTATATTTTTATTCATTTGATCTTTAGTAATATTAGGATTCTGTAGATTATATTCAGCAAAATTATTTTCTATTAAATTTCATAATCCTTATCAAATAGATAAGGTTTTTGTTTTAATGGTCCAAAACTGATAATTTCACCAAAGAAGTTGATAAGAAGTATTTACTCTAATGACTGTCATATTTAATTTTTTTAGATTTATTGATTTTTTTCCTTAATCGACGTACTTTTGTTAGTCTTCTTCAAACCAGTACTTGTTAATTTTTTTTGTAGAACTTTAACGAAAAGAAAGAAGATAAGTAAAGGTGCAAAGAATAATGCTTTCCATTCATTCAAGAACATCTATTAAGAGTCTGACATCTGTGCAGTGCAGTGGTGACTGGTGAAGACCAAACCTACGTTTTCTGCAGAGCCGTCAGTTCGGCCGGAGTTTGCTCGCGAAATCAAGGCCTGATCCGGCGGGAGCTTATCGGACGACTGGCCCTGGAAGAAGAGAAGCGACTTGGACAGTGCGTCGTGGTCGTCGAGATCGCCGGAATCTAACGCGATGACAATGGCAAGAGCCACGATCTTCTTCTCCACCTCCATCTTTGCTCTGCTATGGTGGTGTGCTTGGGGATGGTAATCTGCTCTTTAGGAGTTAAGACATGGGAGAAGGTGGGTGAGGCAGTAATTTGTATGTGAGGGTCAGCTATTGTAGGGCAGGAAAAGCTAAAAAGAAAGTTGAGAGAAAGGAGAAGAAGAAGAGGTCCTAATTGGTGGGTTATTATCCATGGAGTGACCAAATGTGGAGAGTCGTTTGAAGTTCTCGAAGCCGATGAATCGATGAGCATAAAAATAACGAGAAAATTCGATTCATAAAAATCTTAAGCAATCAAACAATAAGATGGTTGAGTCATCATTCTTGTCGACCTACGTTGTCGATAAATCAAACTGTGAGTTTCCTGCAAGTTAGCTGAGATTGACTTTGGGGAGACGAGAGGAGATGACAGAAATATAAGGGATAGAGCTTCGAGTCTCTACAAGTCCTCCAACTCACAATAACACAAGAATAAATTCATATCACTCATATATTAATATTCATTCTTTTTAAAAAATTTAAATCTTTAATTTAAATCTTCAATTAAAACTGAATTCACTATGCTCACAAGAACTTGACATTGCTAGAAATCGAGACAAAAAATGTGTGTATTTACAGGTATTGGCTCTCTCTACCACTTTCTTCTTCTTCTCCTCTATCCATCATCTTCCTCCGCATGAAGATTAATTGGCCTCCATCGAGCATGGCATCTTGATCTCAGTATTTACGAAGATGCGATGCGTTCTTTGGAGTGAGCGTATCGCCGATCATATGCTGCATGTCATCTGTTACCTCAAGATTGAATCCATGAGGAAGTTTCACGACCCACGCAGCTGTATAAATTTCTGGAGGTCTATCACCATGACTGTAATGTCATCTCGGTTGCCCCTCCTGCAGGAGACCTCTATGAGGTCTCTGCATGACTTCACGGCGTTGCTTTGCCTCGAGACGACATCAACTGCCTCCTGGTTTCCGACCTAATGGAATGGTACCCCGATGAGTTAAAGAGTTGCACCACTGAAAGTTTAGGTGGTAAATGTGAATTATGAGTGCAGCAAATCCGTAGCGGACATATTTACCTTATCCCACAATCCATCTGAGCCCAGTATTAAGAACTCACAGTCTGGAGTTAGCTGGAGACTCTTTGTTTCGGGCTCGGAAACGATCCATTCCTTCATGTTCAGGTCGCCAATTGCTCTTGACACAGCTAGAGAGTCGTTCACCCTCCATATTCCATTGCGACATGTCACGTAGCCCCCCTGTGTGGAGTTCAGAATATTGTAAGCTCATTAAGCTACAAGATCAAGAACCTGATTTGGGAGAGAGATAGAAGAGAAGAACTTACAGAGTTCTCAATGCGATTGCGCTCATCTTCTCTACCAGCACGGTGGTCATCAGTAAGAGCATCTGCTACTCCCTTCCTGCTCATAACCACCCTGCAGTCGCCCACATTAGCCACATGTAGTTCTCCATCTCTTAGCAACACAGTGGCCGCACATGCTCCACTGCGAACACCCTACAAACGAAAGGAAACATTCATCGTCAACTATGTAAGTTTTGGTAACGGGTGTCATTAGACAGCTCTAATATTGTGAGCATACAATAGCATGAAAGGATTTAATTTCTTTGTTGTTATATTGATTTGATACTGATCATTGATGGTCAACGCAACAAAGGAGGTATTGTCGATAATGAATACAAATTAAAAGAGAGGCAAGTTTGAATGCTTCAAAGCAGTTGGGAGCTACACACCTGACTTAGGAAGTCTCTGTCCGTGGTCAGATAGCCTGCTTTTATTGCCATTGCTGCTTGGTTTTCTTCCTTTTCTGGCTCATCAAGAGCTGCAACAATGTTCTTCCCAAGCTTCTCAGAGACAAAGTCCACGGCTGCACGGCCCCCATGCCCATCAAACACTCCAAAAAAGGCCTGCAGATGAGTAAAACCAGAGGCTTAACATGAAGAACGTGTCAAACTTGTGCGACTAATAACATGCAAGAGAAGGACATGGACAATTTGGAGCTTCTATTTCACAAGAGAAAGCGAGCATGTCTTTGGTCTTTCTGTCACTTGTAAAATGTTGTGTATGTATCAGTCTAATCCATTAGATTTCCATCAACATTATCAGATCAGCAAAGACAAAGACATTGTGAGAATTTCTCTGTATATATGATTCCTATATCATAAAAAAAGCCAATTGTTTCTCTAGCAAGTAACCTGAAGCCGTTCTTTCATAGGACATAAGGTGTCATAGATGACAAAGGATCTTGTAGTTCATATGACAATCAACAAGATTCAAAATTCTCTTAAAGGAAATATATATATATATATATATATATATATATATATATATATATATATTCATTTATATATTACCTGTTTGGAGTCTCCATGGATGTTGGGTATAACCGCATAGCCATCTTCCATCATATGCCTTTGTCCTTTCCTGCTGACCACACAGTACGCACCACCCTCGACGGCCAATTCCCTTTCGACACCATCCTTCTCCTTATTCGCAACACCAAAAGCTGCATCAGCTGAAGGCTTTGGTATGGCAATCTTCGCCGGTCTTCTTCTCATCCTTGGCATCTTCTTCTCCGCAACTTCTACCATCGAGTGACCGGATTTTTCCTCACACTCCACGCTCTCTTGCTTCGGAAGGGACGAAACCTGTTCGACGAAAGTCCCTGCCGGTTTGCTTCCTCCGGGAACCACATCCTCGACGGGGCGCGCCCTGAGGTCGGAGGACTCCTTGGACCTCTTGTTGGCCACGGCGGCCAGCTCGGCGGGCCGCTTCCACGACGAATGGGGGGCGGGGGATGCCCGGCCGGGAGCCATGACGAGAAAGTACTTCCTAACCGCCAGCCTCAGGTACGCAAGAGAACACAACAAGGAACATAGGAACTCAGCCAGATCAACCATTGTTGCTTGCTTCCTCTCCCTCTGCTCCTCGATATGGGATTTTGCTTGTGGATTGGGCGAGCAGACTTTCTATTCCAAGGTCTGGCTTTCTATTCTTATGGCTACTGCGCTCTGGGTTTAGAGAATGGGAGGGATGGAGGGAGAAGGAACGCATCTAACTATATATGTTTGGTGAGAGAGGAGGAAGGGAGGAAGAGTCGTCTTGCTGATATGATGTTTGACCCGTCAACGGGGCGATATCCTTAAAGCCGAGGGTTTGGTTCTGCTGTGAACAGTTTGCTTCGACAGGAACCGGAGGAAGGCTTCGAGGCGAAGGAAGTGGTCCGGGAAAAGGCAACGGAACCGGTCGCACGAGGGAATTGACAGGATCAGTCCTTCGAGTCCGGCCGGCATCCCGGAGAAAAAGCAAAATGAAATGACTAAATATTTTTGGACGATTTTTCACATTTTTAGTATTTCGTCATTTTATTTTATTTTTCTTAAATAATACTTTTAATTTAAAATATTCCAATTAAATTTATTATAGTGTTTTAATCTGATATTATTTTTTTATCATCATTAAGAAAAACACTACACAGCCTATTTGAAAATAATATCATCTAAATAAAAATTAAAAAATAATTTATTATAATATTTTGACCATCTTCATGTATCTAAATCGACTCATATCTCAATCAAACTATTTATAAAAATAAAAAATAATATTATAAATAATTTATGAGTAATTATAATCAAATAGACATAATATAATATCACTTATAATATTTTAAAATAAAATTTATAATAGTTTTAGTACATCAATAAACATTGTAAATATTATTGAAATTATTATAAACCACTCAAATGAAAATACTTGAAAATTATTTCGAGAGTAGAAATAATTAAAATATGAATAATTTTTAAAAAAATCGTCTAATATTTTTTAACGGACAAGATTTATTCTATTAAAGATATGTGAAACATAAATAAATATCCCATAAGTTTATTAGGTTTAATCGATCCGAACAGGCTGCGTTATTAGACCACTTCCGCTTCCCATTGCGGCCATGACCTGCTTCTAGAGCGGCAGTTCTGTGTCATACCCGACTGCGGCGGGAGAACGTTTCCACCGAAAAGACGAGGAATCGGCTGATCGCCGGCCGACTTCGGTGCATGCCGACATGGAGGAGGATCGGTATGACCGTTGACCCGAGCCGGCCCACCGACGGGGCCCCGCGTCGGCGACTCGGTCGACGCCGTGTTCTCTGTCGGTCGTGGTGGGGCCGGGAGCCGTACGAGAGTCGGTGGCGCTCAATCAATTCTTTCTTTGTGTTTTCTTCTGGTCAGAAAAATGTTGAAAATTAAATATGGAATGTACGAAGATTTTTCCTAATCACTGTGTGGTGGGATAATTCTTGATGGGGACGAATTAGATAGAGGTAGCCAAGTCTTGCCGGAACTCATCCACGGAAGAGGTCTGGAAATAAGAATTAGTTGTTGAATCATTTTGACCGACCCCTTCCGGCTAAAGGTATACGCACCAGACTCCAAGAAACATCCTCCTCTCCTTGGGATGTTGCATTGCGGCAAGCCCAATTCCTTAACTAAAGAGATAAGACGAGAATCTCATAAATTTTGTCAACAATTATCAATATGATATAAAAAATCGAGATACAAACTGTCGTAAGCAAATTGTACATGACAAGCTTGAATTATAGAAAAAAGATAGGATATTTTGTTCAACAAGGTAATAGTCAACATAAGTAAGAGGTGCCTTGTCCGATTCAAAGAGATTTAATGTTCGTTAACCTGGCCGTGCATGAGGATGAACTAAGATCGGTCCAATGCAGGAGTTGCAAAACCAGTGTCCATGATGCATGGTTTCGAAAATCGATGGCAACCTCTTAGTGTAGTATCATGATATTGGACTATACAAGAACACATGAACAACATCACAGATCAGTTCTGTCAAGCTTCACGAGATCAGTTTTTTCAACCTACAGATCAGGTCTTTCAAGCATAGTTCCGTTAGTTGTAAAGATCCACGAACGTCCGATAACATTCGATACTTCAAAGAGATAACTACATGAAGAAATAAAAATATATAAGGTTATGGACCTCTTAAATCTTTATAGTTTACTCATATCTAATATTAACATAATTTTTTTTTTTTTAAGATGATGATAACTACAACGAGAACGATGAGGATCGTTGCTCTGATACCAAATATTAAAACCCTAAGGTTTTATCATAAAAAAATAGAAGAAATAGAAGAAAATAAGAAATGATCATTTCGAGGGGATCGGCCTCCTTGATCACTTCGAGGAGATCGACCTCCTAGGGTTTGTCATAACAAACTGTAATAATATTTGATTGATCAATTAAAGGGTTATATCATTATTTATAAAGTTCTAGGGTCCACCAGGACATGAATTCTTAATAATAAATAAATATTAAATAAATCTCTACTTGATTCTAACTGAATTAAACAGATAAACAATTGGACTAAATAGACTCAATAAACATTATTCAAAAGCTCAGAAAAAAGAATCAAGTAAAAGGTGCCTTGTCCAATTCAAAGAGATTTAATATTCGTTAACCTGGCCGTGCATGAGGATGAACTAAGATCGGTCCAATGCAGGAGTTGCAAAACCAATGTCCATGATGCATGGTTTCGAAAACCGATGGCAACCTCTTAGTGTAGTATCCTTGGACTATACAAGAACACATGAACAACATCACTGATCGATTCTTTCGAGCTTCATGAGATCAGTTCTTTCAAGCGTAGTTCCGTTAGTTTTTACACATCAATGACTCGTAAAACTTTAGGAACCTCCGAGAACCTTCGATACTTTAAGGGGATAACTACATGGAGAAATAGAAATATATAGGGCTAAGGTACATTTGAACTCATGTAATTTTAGTTATAGACCTCTTAAGTTCTTATGGTTTATTCATGTTTAAAATAACTTCTACATTTTAAAAAACGTAACATATAAATCCCTCACATTAAGTTTGAGTTAACAGATGTTAGAGTCCGACATGTTGACTCATAATAATCATTAATATAATGACATATATAATTTAATTTTTAAAAAATACTAAGATCTATTTTAGCCTTGTGGTTTTGGTCATGGACCTCTTAAGCCTTGATGGTTTATTCGTGTCTAAAATAACCCCTATATTTTTTAAAAAACGTAGCATATAAGCTCCTCCCATTAAATCTAAGTTAACAAACGTTAGAGTTTGCTTACGTGATATGCTGATTCATAATAAATCATTAATATAATGATATATATAATTTAAGTTTTAAAAAAACTAAGACCTCCATTAATGACGAGAGGAGGCGTCATCACGAAAATGACCACCACCACCATCACTGAGACATTGTTGCTTAGTAGGACATCGTATACACATAGCTTCTCTTACGCTAACGACGTGCTCAAGAGCTTTTGGTTCTGCTTCAAGTAGATGTGCGTCAATCAGTTCAACGCTAGGCACATAGTGGTCTCTTGATCTCTCTTCCTCTTCTTGAATGTCTTTGTCCCCACCGCCTCCCACTTTATTCTCTCCTACGCCCCCAACCGTCGTGCTTACGATATAGTGGTCGTAGGCTCTCCCTTATCTATACCTTGGGCCTCTCCTACTTTTATTTCTCTGCCTTCATCCGTTGTTATGGCTTCCGTAGCTTCCTTTTTCTCGACAAACTAATCAAGAAGAGCAAGCGAGTGTAGGAGGGTTATATGGACTAGCTCAACCATTCCTATTTGCTCTTTGTTTTTGTGATGTCGTATTGAGGGAGTTGGCTTATAAGGTAAAATTTAAGAGGTTCATGACCAAATTCACATGAGTTAAAATGGATTTTAATCCAAATATATAATTAGCTACGTACTTAGCATCAGTATAAATCTCAACGCACAATCATTGCTTAAATCACAGTCTAGAATTGATCGTGAAACTTCTACGATCGATTCGACCTAATAGCACAGTTCGAATACAAGATGTGGTTTTTTCCTCACACTAATTACATTTAAACTAAATTACAATGTAAGATATGAGGAGACTTTTGACAATTTGTAGGGTACCAAAACGTGTAGTGATGTTAGAATATTATTCACATCATTTTAGTCAATAGCAATCATAGTAATAAAGTAAAATTATAACAAAAAATAATAACTATTCTCTTTTGATGTTATCGATGAAAAGAAGATAAAAGATAAGAAAAATTACTGAAGAAGCTTTATTAAAGATAAGAAGCTTTAGCTTGAATAAGTAGCTCTGATACCATGATGAAAAGAAGATAAAAGATAAGAAGAATTATTGAAGAAGCTTTATTAAAGATAAGCTTTAGCTTGAATACATTAACATGTTCCTCTCCTATTTATACAGATTAGGAGAGATGATTTTCCTCTCTCAACATAGTTGAGAGATTTTCTCATAAATCTTATCTTCTATCAGTTATAACCCAAATTGATAAAGGAGATTTATTATTGTATCGAAGATGGGATCAAATGGATGGGTGACACATACTTGATCTTTAAGGCATCGCGACATCTTAGATAACGTCTTATCGGACTGAGATGAACTCCAGAGGTGAATTTATATAGTGATATTGATTAGAATATTCGAGATCTATTTTGGTAAGTTCATACTTAAAGCTTTCTTTTCTAAAACAAAATAACGTGGTAATAATAACGTTTCGTCATATAACGTTAAGATATCGGTTTCGATTTGAACTTGTAACGTGTGTGGAACCCGCAATCGTTAACTGATGGGGCCAAGTGATTGGTGAAGTTCGTGAGATTCTCATCGGACGGCTAGAATTTATTATGATGATGCTACGCGAGGAGTATCTTCTCACCGTCTTTCTACAGCGCCCAACCGCCTGAGCTACATGACGGGTTCTCTTTTCGCCGCCATCGGTGAGGGAGTTCGTGGCTCGAAATGTTGAGCCCCACCACTGTGCTCCGTTTCAGGCCCAATTGGAACCCTAATCCCCGCAAAACTCTATCTAGGTTTTCGGAAGAGGGGCTCCGGAGATCCTCCACCGTACCTCCGATTGGGTTCGAGGATTTCGCCAGCCATGGCGAGGGTTCCGATTGTCCGAGCTGCTGCGGCTGCGCATTCCACCAAGGATGCTGCTACAGAAATCTCTAAGCCGCCTATACAGTATATATGGTTTTCAGCTTATGGTGAATGCATTTCTTTTGGAAATTGCTTGAAATGCTTTCTCATCCTTTTAAGACATCTATTTATGCTCGTAAATTGGCACATTTGAAATCGCATTTTGACATATCTATGTTCTGAAGCATGTTGTGGTCAATTGAATCTTGCATATCAGATTGTCTTATGCATTCTTTTCTACTGCTTCAGCAAGTCCCTTTTAAGATATCTGTACATTCTGTTTTTCCCCTTTCCTTTTTAACAGTTATCTGTAGCAGCTATTCATATATGCTTCTTGATAACTACAGTGTGATGATTTTGTTGTAGTTGCTTCATTTCATCTAATCAAACAGAGCTGACAAATCTATGTAACTAGCAGTTGTTTACAGGACCCTATTTGTATCTGATTGTTATAATTTTTTTTTTCCTGAGATATCCACTGAACTATCCCTTATAATTTTAAATATTTATTGATTCAAATTGTATTCTATTTCAACAAATTGCTGGAATGTGCATCAGAGATATTTACATGCTTATATGTATTATAGGATGGTCTTTGATCTGAACATAGCTAAATTATAATTATGGACTGACAATCCCATATATAAGTCCAGAATTTGGATATCTGATTTTTGTAACCACACAGTCATGCACCATTGTTCAACATTTTCTGGTTATACTTTGTTGTGTATTCTGAACTATGTGCATTGTTAATTGAATTATGCTACAGTGAAGTGTTGGCTTTGGCAATCAGAGTATCTGACTTGCATTATATAAAAAAGTTCTTAGGCAGTGTTTTAGCCTTTGTCATCAAGCATCTTCGTCTTCAAAGTTTTTCATGAACCAGGAAAAAAAAAATAGATATTTGATTCCAGTTTTTGCCAGTTAGCTGTGATGTACAATCTTTAATTTAAGGCCTTTTCAAATCAGAATTACATTCCAAAATTACACCGCCATGGCTGGGCAAGGGCAGAGAAAGTTTCTTTGTGAATATCAAGATCCTTGCTTGTGATAGTTCCATTTTACATATTGCCTGAAACTTAAGCCACGGTGGTTAATCATTTTGTCTGAGTAGTCTAGATTGATCTATTTAACCAAGAGAAAAAAATGTGAAAGTTTCTCTTACAAGGTCACTTCTTAATAAAATTATGTTCCAAATGTTGCTAATTTGCAGAGATCATCATCAGCACTCATCATTTCAATTTCTTTAAGACATGGTTACCAAACATTTCAATTTCTTATGACATGGTCCTCTATTTTTAACCTTGAACAAGTTATCCTCTCTATCATCATGCAAGCAATCATCCGGGAAATAATTAGGATGCTGAAGCAAAATTTGAGGCTTGCTGAGTGGTTGTAATAAATCTCTCTTTCACCTGGCAATGCAAGAATATTTTTGTACTCCATTATGTTTTATATGTTCATGATTCTGGAAACATATTTCATTAAACATAATGTACAGTCATGTTTCTTGAACTCCTGAAGTGCAACAAGCTTGAATGGTGAATCTTTACAACACAACAGTTCAGCATCACAATTACCTCCTTCCAGAGCTGCTCGCTGGCCACTACATGAACAAAGGGTTGCTTCACACCAGCATCTTCCAATGAATCTACCCAACCATGGCCTTTAGATGAAAATTCTGTACTCCATTTCAAAAGCACAAAAGCAGCATGGTTGACCGAAATTGTGGATTTCTGCATTATATGACACAGTTACTTCGCTGAGGATTCAAGCTTATGCAAACAGTCTCGATCCTTCGCGCATCAGAGTTGCTGCATCCATCTTCATGAATTCCGACCTGGCTTCATGAACTGTAGGGAGTTTATTTTGTTTTCTAATTCTATAAAACTTAATTTTGTTACCAGCAAAATATAATTCTTCAGTTCCCAGTCCTTTTTATGGTTCCTTCTCACATTATTGGTTGAACTCTGTATCTATTTCTCAGCAAATTTTCTGAGAGGATGCTGCTGATCAAAGCAATCCCAGTAGATACTGTGAACAAAATGCCAGCGACCATGATGGCACAAGGTATGAGTTTATAATGCTTTCAGTGTTAATTTTGCATAGATAGAGTACTTGAATCTTAGAGAACAACCTAAATCAATGACAATAAGAACAACTCTTATTTTAGCCTGGCTTTAAAAAGAGAGATTTAGAGAACAAATCAAAGACAAGACTTTTTTTTTTTTGATAAGTAATCAAATCAAAGACAAGACTTACCCTTGTTATTCCAACTTGTGTATTTGATTGTTCAAACTATTGGCAACGTCTCGAGGCATGTCTTTAGACGTGGCGCCTACTCTCATAACATTTGATTTAAGAGTAATTGAAGTAAAATAAACGAATAAGAACATGATCATAAAAGCCAAGTGGCATCTTCCAAAATTTCTATACGCATTAAATGCGTTTAGAAAAATTAAAACAAACCATTTGAAGAAGAACAAAACATGTCAAAAAAATTTAATTCAACTTCATAGACTAAGTTGTTCTTGGAATATTTAGGGATATTTAATTCGAGACATTGAAAAGTGATTTGCCTCCACTATTTCGTCTCACATTTTTTCTCAACGGTAATATGGAGGAATTATTGAACAGCCTACGTGTACATCACATCACGGCGTGATTTAGATGTTTCATGTTTATGGGGACCCACAAAGATGAGTTCCTCTTGTGGAGGGTAATCTTTGTAGGAGGCATTAATGGTATAAATATGTAAATATGTATTTATATATAGGGAAACACATTACTAGTTGGCGCGCACGTCGCTGAAGGAACTCTCGATGGGGTCATATCAACGTCGTGCTCCCCTCGCGCACGCGCGCGCGCGCGCTGACAGAATGCAAGCTGTGGGAAGCGAGAGAAATCCATAGGCTTGGCGAGAGTTTCGAGCGACGTGGATCCGACTGCAGCTTTGATTCCTTTTCTCTCTTCTTTGATCCCTTTTCTTTAGATCAAACAAAGAAGTATTTGATTTTTTTGATGCTGGGTTGTGTGGTCGTTTCTGATCGTCTTCTCCGCCCTTCCCTCGGTTCTATCACGGGACGATGAAGAAGGGGCACCTATGGTGCGGAAAGCTTCGCCGTAATACAGATAATGGGGAATGATCTGGCGATCGCTGCTTCAGCCAGTTCCTCCCGTGATTCCCGCGTCAAGGTGGGATCTTGATCCGGTTTCAACGATCCCCGCGGCTTCTTTCTCCTAGGGTTCACGGGCTTGTTATGTTCCTGTTATCTCTAGAGGGGGCAGCTTTTTCGGATTTTGTGTTTGGATTTGATGGCATGATAGCTTGACTTCCAAGTCCATGAGAGAATTTCCGGTTTGAAGATAATTTCATCATGTTTGATTCTAGTATAGTTTTAGTAGATGGCATTGATCCATTCCTGGAGGTTTCGGAAGGATTGTGTTTGTTCGCTTTGAATGTGAGGATTGCCAATTCAAGATTGTAACTACATCCTTATAAGAGTTGGAAGGCAGTTGGCAGCTTTAGTTCCAGAAATGAATGCATCTTATTGTGGACTGATACATTTGGAAATAAGGTAGAGGGCATCCTGTCTTTCTGGTAATGGGCTGCATTTGTTCCAAAGATATCGACTTGGAAGAGGGTGCGGCGATACATCGGAGCAAGTCCTTGAGTCGATTAGCTACCCTTACGAAGAAGGATGAGGTAGTGGCTGCCATTATCGATGTCGCGATTAACGGAAGCCATTGCGGTACTTCAAGATTTGCATCTAAGATACAGGACAATGCAACCACCACCCTGTCTCTATCACTGGATCAAGGGGAGAAGATGGTTGCCGCTGTTGCTGACAGGACTAGGAAAGTTCAGGCGCATCAGAGACAGGCTACTGCAGATGTTGGAGCACATAGAGAAGGTTCTGAGGCTATTGGTGTCTCAAGTAATATACAAGAAAACTTAAGAATTGTAGATGTGCCCAGTGGGTCTGCAAGAGAGCATGTTGCAGCAGGCTGGCCTTCTTGGTTCGTGTCTGTGGCAGGGGAAGCAGTAAAGGGGTGGTTGCCAAGGAGAGCAAATTCATTTAAGAAATTAGACAAGGTTAGAGTTCTAATTTGTGCCTATCTCATTTAAATGATTCGCCTCTTGTATACTTGTAATATGATCTGATGACCACAAGTTGAGACAGAGACAGGTTCCATATAGACTATGATATTCTATGAGCAGCATTTTAACATTTAGTCTAGCCTTATTGAAGACTTCCTTGAACTCGGACTTCTTGATTCTTCTTACCGTAATGCCAGTAGATCATGATTATAATTACTTGTTGTATCACACAAGCCTAAAACCACATGGGCCACACCTCCAAAAAAGAGGATACACAAATTGGGAGTAGGTTGTAATTCACGTAGTATTGAAAGTTTACTCCACAGGCATTGTAGGACTAATCGGATTGGGGTATTACATTTCTTATTTCTTTCTTTTCCCTCTAGGGTGCCACTATATCATGACTAGTTTCATAAACAAGAGCACAGCAATCTCCTTATGAAGAGTGGAGCATTGAAGTCATTCTGATTGCACAAGATTTAGTAAATCAAGTGAAATTAAATAAATAAGATAAACAAAAAGATGTATTAATATATTTGTTGCAATTACTGTAATGAGATATCTAAATCCTCAACTCTAACCAGGATGCCTAAAATTCCATGTGTTTAATTTTTCTTTTCTGTTTTGTTTGTAAACGAATGTGGATATTTGTCCTGATGGCCAACATCTGTTTAGAAATGTATGGCCAGAACCAAGAAATATTTGTCCTCATGGCAAACATAACTATGATGATACTTTAGTGAGTTTACTGATTCTAAAACTGACAAGAAAACTGTATTAAAAAAAAAAAGATTCCAGCTAACTTTGGTAAGAACCTCTGATCAAAATACTTTTGTCAGAATCATCGTACCTCTAATTAAGATATTTCTCAAATAGATCAGTTTTCTGCACAATTTTGTAGACATGGATTTCCAGTCGAATGTCATCCTTTTTAACATTATTTTGATTCATTTATCAATTCATGTAGATATATTTTAGTGGGAACATAATATGAGTTTTATGGGAATATAAGAACATAATACGAGAAATATTCCATCTTCAGTAATGACACAACGTATTTGATCTTTTATTAAATTCATTTCATTTCAGATTGGACAAGGAACTTATAGTAATGTTTACAGAGCCCGTGATCTTGAAACTGGCAAAATTGTTGCACTAAAAAAAGTGCGATTTTTTAATATGGATCCTGAAAGCGTCCGATTTATGGCTAGGGAAATTCATATTTTGCGTAAACTTGATCACCCGAATGTTATAAAGCTTGAAGGTATAGTTACATCACGGATGTCTTGCAACTTGTACCTTGTGTTTGAGTACATGGAGCATGATCTTGCTGGACTTGCAGCAAGGCCTGGTATCAAGTTCAGTGAACCACAGGTATGCTCTCATGATTTTGACAATTGATGTTATAGCTAAAAACCTTTATTCTTCTTCTTCATTTTCTGGAACATGTATTTTTATGACCACCATTCTGTCAATTCCAGATTAAGTGTTATATGAGACAACTACTCGAAGGCCTTGCCCACTGCCATAGTCATTGGATTCTGCATCGAGATATCAAGGGTTCAAATCTATTAATTGATGATAATGGGATACTCAGAATAGCAGATTTTGGCCTTGCAACATTCTTCCGTCATGACCAGAAACAGCAGTTAACGAGTCGTGTGGTAACCTTGTGGTATAGGCCTCCTGAGCTTTTGCTTGGTGCCACAGAGTATGGTGCTGCTGTTGATTTGTGGAGCACTGGTTGCATCCTTGCAGAACTACTTGCTGGGAAACCAATTATGCCTGGAAGAACTGAGGTTTGTCATTTTCTGTGTTTGCTTAATTTTCAGTTAGAACAGATGATAGTAAATACATGGAAGTTCCATAACAAATGAATTATTTAAATAAATTATGCAAAATTTCACTAGATGTGGAATGTTTTACATAGCTTGAATGCTTGAAAGTTTTTGTTTTTTTTGACTAAACTGTTAGACATAAGACCTTATGCAACTACTTTGTCCGCTGACAATGTTAACTGCATTTGTATTGATGCAACAGAAGCATTATTAATCTTAAAGAAAGTAATCAGAAGATCCTGCAAAGTATAAAGCTTGGGTTACAGATATGGCTGAAGTGAAATTTTAAGTCCTGCTTTTGTTTTGTGGAAAACTCGATTTCCTTTTCCAAAATGCGGGCTAATTTTCTCCTTTTTTTTTGAAAGCTGGTTTTCTCTATCCTATCATGTTTCTCTTTTATATTGCATTGGTAATTGTTGTTCTTTTGGTAATTAATTTGTTGTCTAAAGACTCTAAAACTATTGGTGGTAAACCATTTTTAGGTGGAACAGCTGCACAAGATTTTCAAGCTCTGTGGTTCACCATCAGATGAGTACTGGAGGAAGTCCAAGCTGCCACATGCAACCGTTTTCAAACCTCAGCATCAATATAGGCGTTGTGTTGCTGAGACCTTTAAGGATTTTCCACCTTCAGCTTTAGCGCTTTTGAATTCTCTACTTTCTATAGAGCCAGCCAATAGAGGAACTGCCATCTCAGCCCTCGGGAGTGAGGTGAGTTGTCACACCTTATTTCTGGTAACTGGAATATGTAGCTTAAAGCTTTGAAGCATAATGATATTCTTCTTTTATCTGCTTTTATGCACAGAATTCCTTAAATCAGTATCTTGTCATGTAGACTTGTATGACTATCACACTAGCTTAAGGTGATCTGCTTATTTAATATCTATTGCTTACTCTAAATATGTCTCATGCTGTAATTTTAGTCTGACCAGTTGAGGGTTTTAGAATTTGTGACTGTGCATGGGTGTTTCTTTGTTCTGTGTTGTGCTCTAGATGATGCCTGACTGATGTAAAACACCTTTGATGTGATGATGATTTAGTAAATTTGAACTAGAATATGGTTTCTTTATTTACTGCAACCTTTTCCAGGCTTATATACTATGTTTATCCTTTCCATCTGATAATTTTGTGACCATATATTTCAGTTCTTCTTAACAAAGCCATTTGCCTGTGACCCTTCAATTTTGCCTAAATATCCGCCGAGCAAGGAGTATGATGCTAAGCTTGCAGCTGAGGCAAGGAGGTATTTGTTCACATACACCGCCCCAGATACTAGTGCAAAAATGTGAGGAATTGGCTACAGTTTTTGTTGATTGCTGACACATTCACTTTGTGCATTGTGAAACTCTGCAGGCAAAGAGCAGAAGTTGCCCATGGACGTGGATCTGAATGTGTCAGGTTGGGAAGAAGAGAGTCCAAAGGAATGCCAGTGCTGGATGACAACGTGGAACAGAAGGTACCTTTTATGCCCTATTCACAATGTGATTCTAAAATTCTTTCAATGTGAAGCATAAAGGAATACAAATGATATAAATATATAACTGCTGCACCTTTAGTTAGTACATAACACCACCAATATGTTAAAGCATTGTCATGAAGCAGGGCTTTTTGTTAGTTTGCTTCTGGAAAGAATCAACCGAAGTGCTATTTGAATTTGGGAGCAACTCGTTGAATGAATGTCAAGACGTTTTGTGATGAATATCTTATTTTAAGAAAAGAAATTTATGATCTATCAGGACAGTATAAAAGAGATATTATGATGAAATTTAATGTCTCTTGTATTGGGCATTTAACACACAATTAAATAGAAAAACACTCAGAATTAGCTGCTTCATGTATAAGCACTTAAGCAAGCTAATGCTTCTTTGATTCTAGAGAACTGGTTAAGGTGGCACAATCTACTTGTCATGGTGGATCTCAATTATTTGCCAGATTATGCAGTCATGCAGTTTTGGACTCTCGTCCATTTCCCCTCGGGTTTAAAATCAACAATTTTCTCTTGTTCTTCATGTTATTGTTGGGCAGAAGTGGCGTGCACAGGCAAATCCCAAAAGCATCAGTGAAAAGTATGATCCGCAAGATGACAGTGTGTCTGGGTTCCCGATCGAACCTCCTGGAGGAACATCACAAAATGGATTCTTCCAATCGGGTGTACACCCTAATGCATTTGGATCCTCGCGGTCTAAGAAAGTGTATCATGAAGAGCTCCGGCCAGTTCCCAGCCGTACATACAGTTCGTTGAGGGTGCCAAACGACCCTCAGTTGAAGACACAGAGGTCATACAGGCCTCAGTCAGGGTTTGCGGACTTTGCTGACATCTCAGGTTCATTTGCAGCAAGAAGCACTGCAACCTCCACATACAATCATCTTGATGTGGCTAAGCCCTCGGAAAAGCATGCTCTTGATAGGCCTTCCTCGTCCCAAAAGAAAGATGGAACAATTGGAAGAAAGGATTCGATATCAGTAAGTTCTGATCCCATACATTTTCTATCACCCCATCACGTTTACATTATAATTACATCTCGATCTTTAACATAAATAGTTCTGATGATACCATCATAAAATGTGCTGAGACCAAAACTTGACAGTAAGTAGGAAAATTGAAGTATGATGCTTAATATAATGGCAGATTGTTGCAACCAAACTCTGCCTTTCTCATTCTAGTGAATTTTATAGATATTATGTAATGACATCTCCCCGTCTCCTTTTTTTTTTCTGAAGAAAAATTATAAGTTTTTCGTTCTTTTTTTCCTTGAACAAAGTAAATGTGGTATTGAGCAAATTTTTGTATCATTTGACATATAGGGTTATGGCACAAGAATTAAACGGATACATTACTCGGGTCCATTGATGCCCCCAGGGGGAAACATTGAAGACATGTTCAAAGAACATGAGAGGCAGATTCAAGAGGCGGTCCGCAAAGCACGCCTCGATAAAGTCAAGAACAAGAAGTAATTTTGAGGCAGATCCAAGATATGCACCTTCACGATACAAGTGACAATGTTGTAGATTTAGGTAATGTTTTTTTATGTTGTACATGAAACAAAAGTATTTTGGTTAATCAGGGTAGCTTTCAAACGCATAAGTGAGGAAGATGATGTGAAACATTACTTTGTGGCACATCCCAAGTGATCAATTGATTGCAATGTTCTTATGATTATTAGATATCCAACATATTATCAATCATCTCATTAGTTGATAAATAAAAATAATTGTAATGTACCCATGTGTTAATTTTTGGTTGTCCAAGATGCAAGTTGGTTCGGAACCAATCATGGCCTACTTTTGCATTTATATTAGAATGATCTCGTTCCATGATTAGTCGCATGATTTCGAAGTATCAAGTACATGTCAGTATCAAGTATATGTCGATCACATGACATTAAGGTATCGGTTGCATGTCGAGCATATGGTGCTGTAATATTGTCCGAGTGATGATGAGATATCTATTATGTTATACTGAAGTGTTGTAATATTGTCCGAGTGATAATGAGATATCTATTATGTGATACTGAAGTAACAGTCATGTCTTCATTCCCATATCAAAATGATTAATCTACCATACTTCTTTTGAATGTATAAAAACTAGGGATTACCGAAGCACTAAGGGTTGTAGAGATGTACCATGATACTGCGAGGCATAAAAATTGGAAAACCAATTATTCCTTTTCAAAAAAGAACCAGATATTAAATAGATGCAGAAACGAATGTAGTGTGATGAACTAAGATGCTGAAAAGAAATAACTGAGCATTTTGAAATAGTTTGATGTGAAATTAATCCTCTTTATCTGTTGTTGGAATCTCTTGTTCATATATATGATTCGATGATTCATTCTATTATTAAATATATTATCATATGATATGCCCCATTCATAAATCTTTATTACTTTCATATCATATTGTGATTCGATTCGATGGGAGATGTTTTAAGATCAGAGAATTAATCATTGGACGTCAATTTTTTATTAGATATTTATTTAGGTAGTTAAATTATTTTTAACTATATTAAAGTTAGGAGATTGTTATTGATAATTTTATTTACGATTGGTGACACCTTACTTCATACAATTAACTAACTAAATAAATAAATTATAATTTCCTAAATATAACTTCTCAATTATCAATCATACTCTTATTCCTCGCAACCCCTCAATTACCATTACTTCATACAACTCATGAACACTTTGGAACCCTAGTTTAGTCCGACAATAAATATAAAAAAAAGGAGGAGGAGGAGGAGTTAGAAGGGTTTGTTGGAATTAAATGATAAGTTAAAAATATTTACATGCATTTATATAGAGATATTTTAGAAATATTAAAATATCTTTTAAAAAAAACTCATTTTTTGGATATTCCCAAAAGATACCCCTCCTTTGCTTTTTTTTTTCAAACATTATCCCTAATTTAAAAATATCTAAAATATCCCTTAAAATTGTTTTACTCATTTTATTGTGAGTTTTTAACTATTACAATATTTTCATTTAGCTCGTTTAGAGTGTTTTTCAATAATGTTTATAATATTCTATTAATATATTAAAAATATTATAAATGTTACTGAAAAATAATATTATATCATGTCGTTTTAGTTGTCATTACTCATAAATCATTATAATATCATATTTTTAAACTTATAATATTAAAGTTATAAATATATTTAAATAATTTATAGTATTTTTAAGTAGATTTTATAATATTTTTATTGTGATGATAAAAATTCTGTAACAAATAGAACATTGTAACAAACTAAAAAAAAAAGGAGTCAATTTGTATATTAAATTAAAAGTACGATTTGAGAAAAATAAAATAAGATATATCGATTGAGTATTTCTTAAAAAAATCATCTTTTTAAAGTAAGATTTTAAATAGAAAAAAAAGAATTACAGATAGAAATCTAATTATCGAGGAAGGTGCCATGAATTTTAGGGAAGATTGTATCGGGGCGTTGCATGCAGGAATCTAAAATCTATCGGTAAAAGAAGGCCTTCTAATTATGTAAAGCAATTGGCCATTAACGTATGCTCATAATCGCATGCATCCACAAAGATCGATTTGTTGTCATGTATACCTTTGGAATCAATCAATCGGTGCCATCGGTGTTCGGTCTCCATCAATCCCCCCCCCGTCACTGCTCATTGCCGCATCTTGAACGATCAGTAGAATCATGCAGCAATTCTCTTCTTCCTCTCTCCTCTGATCCTTCACGCACGTACGTCATGAGGGTCAAGTTACGTCTCCTCCTCGTGCTCATCCTCGTCCTCCTCCTCCTTTACGTACTGATCTCGTGGACCTCGTTTTCCCCGGTTCCTGCAATTACATCGCTGACCTCGCTGTCAGATTCGTGCACCAAGATCCCACCCTCTCTAGCGACCGCTATCGTGCACTACGCCACCTCCAACACCACTCCGCAGCAGACCCTCGAGGAGATCTCCGTCACCGCCAGAGTGCTACGGAAGAAGTCGCCGTGCAATTTCCTGGTCTTCGGCCTCGGCCACGACAGCCCCATGTGGAGCGCGCTCAACCACGGCGGCCGCACCGTCTTCCTCGAGGAGGACGGCTCGTGGATCCGGACCGTCCGGGGGCGGTTCCCGGCGCTGGAGGCGTACCACATGACGTACCGCACCAAGGTGAGCCAAGCGGAGGGTCTCTTGGCATCGGGGCTGAATTCGACGGACTGCGCGGTCTGGAACTCCAAGTGCCCGCTGGCACTGACGGAGCTGCCGGCCGTGTTCTACGAGGTGGAGTGGGACTTGATCATGGTGGACGCGCCGACCGGTTACCAAGCGGACGCTCCGGGGCGGATGGGGGCGATATACACGGCAGGGATGGCGGCGAGGGGGAGGAGTGCGGGGGAGACCGACGTGTTCGTGCACGATGTGGATAGGGTTGTGGAGGACAAGTTCTCCACGGCCTTCCTCTGTGAAGGATACCTGCGGGAGCAGGTGGGGAGGCTGAGGCACTTCACCATTCCCAGCCGTCGGACTACTCCGGCCATCGCATTCTGTCCCTGAGAAGCTTTTGAGTCCGATCTCATCTGTACGACCTATCTTATCACATAAAATAATATTTTTTTCTCTATTTTATGATCAAATTTGTTGTAGAATTTAGATTTTTTGTATGAGAATTATGTCAATCTTGGATTTCTGCGTTGTTAAACGAATCAAATCAACTTCCTGATTTTAATTTCTTTCATCTCCTTGTTGAAAAGACAATTCTCTGTGTT